AGTGTTCGCCAGAAAGCATGTTTTTCTCTCTTTGTTTCTGGCATGCATTCTCTTGCCCTCTTTTGTGACGGCTTATTCACTTATTCACTTCCTGTTTATAGTAAAGAGGGATCAAATTGTTTAAAAAATATATACTTTGAAAAGAATCACAAGTTTCAGCTTTCAAGACAAGGACCTGCAGCTGCTGCTGGAGCAGGCCCCCGCACGCTGCTCTGTGCTGGCTGGCTGCTTTCCTTGACACCGCTCCAGTGGTGCCTGGTGCCAAAGGCCCATCAGTACCCCTGAGCTTGCAGAGTTGGGGCATGCTTTTATTCTTCCACTGACACAGCGAAGCTCTGCAGCTCGTCTGAATCACAGCACTGAAAACTGGTGAGTCAGTGAGTCTCCTGCAAGAGTGTGTTGGAAACATAATATGCTGTTGCAAAAGTTCATATTAAATAGTGTCCAGTGCTGGAATACACATGCAGGTTGAAGCTGGCCTCTGCCAGACTCCATAGCTGTAAATGGTTTTGGGAAAAGAGGTGATACCTGGAGCAGGGAAAATACCCTCAGCCTGGTGAGAACAGAGGGCAGATAGAAGCCCTGCCAGAGAGGAGAGACTGGAAAGTCAGTAATGGCCAGAGATGCCGTGGAGATACTCAAAGCCTCACTGGACAAGGCCCAGAGCAAACAGGTCCAGCTGTGAATTTGGACCTCAGCCTAAAGCAGATCCTGCTTTGAGTGGGGGTTTGATCCAGAGGCCTCCAGAGGTCACGTCTCACCTAAATTATTGTATTATTCTAGGAGGTAGGGGCAGCAGCAGGAGGAAGCCCTAAGCAACACTTCACTCTATATTTGCAAACACCGAATGCAAGTCACTGAAACAGCTCGTTCTGAAGCAAATTTTCCATTTGGGCTGTGTTTGGCCCCCCATGTCTGCCGCAGGAAAATACAATGGTGTTTTTATAGTACAGAACAGTCTGTAGTCAGCAGAATCCTCCTAGGAGATCCAGGAAAGATGCCTGGGAAAAGTCAGTTTGCTGTTTAAGCACAGCCCAGCTAGCTTTGAAGCGATCAGTGGGAAATGGTGTGAAATAACAGAGCATTTTGTAAAACAACCCAGAGTTGTTACCCACCCAGCAGAGTACAAAGTCTCCCCTGCTGGCACCCACCTGACCCAAAGCCCAGAAGGAAGTGTGCAGCTACGCAGCAGGATGGGTGAGGGGAAAGGGAGAGCTGCACTCTGCTCTGGGGTCGGGCAAAGCAGTCGCTGCATTGCACAAAAAAATTGGCAGCTGTATTGCCACCATGCCCAGCCTGGGCAGTGTCTGGGGACCTGCACCGACCGCGTGGCCTGGGGTGTTTCTGGGTCAGCATGGCTCAGACCATGTCAGAGAGATTTCCTTGAGCTCATGTGAAACCCCTCTCCCTGTTTGTCCTCGCTGCCTATCTCTTTGTGTAATTATTTCCTGTTCAATTATACTTCAACAGCATGCTTTTGAAGACAGTATTTTCTCATACCTAGCTTTTCACCCTCTGGAAAGCTGTATTTCCCTGTTCAGTTAGCTTAAGAGCCTAACCCTCACCAGAGAGAGCGCTAACCAGTGCTAATGTCCCGAGTAATTGCATTGGCTTCTAAACTCTTCTTTTAGTGGGTGTGCTCATGAAAAAACTCTGCTTTCAAAAGCTGCATGTTTTGATACTATTTCACAGAGTTGTCACAGTTTCAGAAAGCAAAAGGTTTAAGCAGTCTTTGAAGTCTAAAACTACTGCTCCTTGTTCAGACTCTTCTAGCAAGGCATTGCAATAGCCAGTGAGTATGACAACTGAGAACAGGTTTTATTCCTCTCAGAAGTTAGTATTTCTGCAGGTGCTGGTCAAGATTTACAGAAGCAAAAGCTAGATGCAACGGCCTCACCTGCGCTAAGGTGGCTGCTTGGGCCCCCTGGAATTATGAGGTTGACGTCAAAACTATGACATTTTTAAAGTAAGTGGGGGACAAGTATCCGTCAGGTTGGGGACTTACAGGTTTACTAGCCAAGTTTTTCTTCAGAATTGTGAGAGCTGGAAGCTGCAGTTCTCAGTCACAAAATTCCCAGACTTGTGGCTTCAAGAAAGGAAGAAAAAACAAACACAAACCCACATACCCAGACTTCCAATAAAATCATCGTAACTAACAACAATGATTCCGTTGTGGTTACTATCAGTGATTCTGATAGTGCCAATACTATATTTGACACCAGAAGAAGGAGTTTTCATTTTTAAAAGGAAAGAATAGCTTAAAGAATGGGTATGAATGGCAGCTGTGTGGGGTTTCAAATATTAAACCATCAGGCTTCTCATTTAGGTACCTAAATATACATTTAGGAATGTAACTTTCTATTCTTGGGTTCAGATCTGGGTTCAGTTAAATCTAAGTCTGGGTGCCTGGTGTATTTGTTGCGTGTGCACCTCTGTTCACTGGACATTAAAGCAGACAAATGGCTGACAATAAAATTCAGGCTCACGGTACTATATTTTAAAATATGGAGAAATGTGAATGGCAGAAAAGGCTTTTAATCTCTCTAAATACCCATGAGGCCACCCCTTCCAAGTGCAGTGTTTGAGCACCGTTACTGATGTGTATCCTGTATATGTGAGAATGAATGCATCACACGTGTGCCTCAGGAACCAGTACCATGTTAGCGACAAAATAATTTGTTACAGCTCACAGATGAAAGTGAAAAGGTCTTTTTAGGGTAAATGATAGAAACTGCTGTTATCTATGACTTCCCTTTCTCCTGAACCCACGTTACTCCTAAGGTTATCCAAGGTATGGACCAAAACTCGCTGAATCTGGAACTTGGCAGGCAGCAGTTGGTATTTATTTATTTTCAAAGAGCCTTTAAAGTGATTTCCAAAGACATACCGTCTGGATAACAAATTTATTTTTAGTTTCATTCTATTTTTTCTTCTTAGTCTCTTTCTCTTCCTCCCTCTCCACCACTACCCCCTTTCCTCCATCCCTGCCCATCCCCATCCCCAACCCTGTTAATGAATTCTTCAGGCATGCACCAATGTAATGTCTTGCTAGGCAATTAGAGCTACCGAAGTATAAGGAATAAAAGAGTCTCGGAAAGCTATAGCAACAAAGTGCATTTGTCATATGTCTGAAGTTGATCTGAGATGTGTTTTCAGTTTCCTCAGAGGCTACATGTTTTTGCTTTTGTCCAAGAAACACTAAAAAAAAATTAAACCATTTCTATAAGCTGATATTTTCATTGGCTATAGCTGTGTGCCCTTATTCTGCACTAAACAAAGTCATGGCTTTGCCTTGACAACAGATTTAACCTTATTATGTTTGGTTTGCAAAACAGCAATTTGTTGTCCATATCTGGGCAACTGATGTACAAAACATAGCATCCTTTTGGCAAGAAGAAGCTCTTCTGCAATCTCAGTAATAGCTTGAGAGTGCTGAAACTTTTTAGGGCTGTGCTTCCCCAGTTTCTCCCCTTGCCTTGCTTTGCCTTGCCTTCTCCTTCCTGTCTCCTTCTCCTTCCCTTCCCCTCCCTTTTCTTCCCTTCCGCTCCCTTTTCTTTCCCCTTCCCTCATCCCCCATCCCCATCCCCATCCTTTACACTTTCAAAAATGGTTTGCTCTGAGGATCTGGGGGTGTTTATACCTCTTCCTTGTTCCCACAGTATAACCTTGTGTGTGGCAATGCCTGGATGCTAGATCTAACGCAGGCTATCCTCAACCTGGGATTTCTGGCCGGTGCATTCACTCTAGGCTACGCTGCAGACAGGTAAAGTATAAGTGCTACTATCCTTTGGCTCTTGTGGAGACTGAGTCACTAGTAACGTGAGTTGCGATAAGCACGCGTGAGCGCTTTGGAGGCTTAATTCACTCTGGATAAACTTGTTAATGAAACCCAGCTAATGTAGTCTTCACTTCCTTTTGGGCTGGAAACTACGTGCAATAGTACTTCCTGATCCTTTTTGGACTTTAAAAAATCATGAAAAGAGCCTTTCGTGTGGTTTCCAGTGTTTTCTGTGCACATCTGAACCCAGGAAGGGCAGAAGGACTTAGAAATGAAAAGAAAGCATTCAGAGGACTTTTCTGGATTGGTGTTTACTGGAGGACTTTTAATAGGGACCGTTGATGAAGAAAGCAGCTACTTGGGGAAAGAAGGAAGGAGCTCAGTATGGTAACTCTCTCCGTTCACACAGCGGACTCATGTGCTGACCACCAAGGTCATATCTCCAGTCAGTCTTTCACTTTGTTAGAACTGGGTGACTACTAGTGAAAAAATGTGGTGATATTCAGCCTTGAGATGAGGACTTGCCCCAGAGCAAGGAACGCCAATAAGGTCTATCTTGCCCTTAGAATGAAGGAGGGAGCCTGGTTTGTACTTTGTGTTGATGGTTAATGGTAGGCAACCTATCTCACTGCCTGAGAGCACCACTGGCAATTTCACTGACAGAGCATATTTCTTCAGTCCATAAAATACGTCCTTTTTGCCAATTTTATTTTATTTTTTTTTGTGATATATATAATAGTGATAATAGTAATATCTTCCGATAACAAATTTTGAGCTAGCAAACAAAACCACTTGCAAGAAAAGTTTGATTTTTCTAAGGGTGATAGTCATCTGCTGGAGGTAAAAGAGATCTCATGACACTGGTTAACTTAAAACATCACAGCTCAGTGTCTGACTGGGCACTTGTAATACTAGTACCTCAAGACTGTGTAAGAGTAGAAATAGTACAACTACTTATTAAAATAAAATAATGTCTAGAAGAGTACATATGCATTAAGCATAATACAACAACAGTACACCAATGTCGTATGTGATAGCACTAGGGAAATGTGTTTCATTAGACCCTTGTGTCCTTGACAGCAGCTGAAAGCTCTAATTTTTAGCAATTTTAGCAGCTCTAATGTTTTGTCCCATAGAAATCATTTACACGAACCTTTTTGAGAAGGATAATCACAAAGTATTCTTTGAAATTCTTTTTGGCAAGATAAACAGCTACAACAGTTTTCACAGTCTCTTCTGAACAGCAGAAGACAGTTTAATCGAAATGGAAATTCTAGTTTTGTTCTAAGGACACTTTGCTATGAAGATACAGGGAAGGGACTGGGGTTTTTCTTTTTCAGAATTAAGAGTTCATCTTGGGCACACCTATTAATAATGGTTCTGTTCACTGGAAAATGAGACTCATGAATACATAAAGCAGGTTTAAAAACCAGGTGATCTTAAGCCTAAACAAAGCATTGGAAAAGTAGATGGAGTAATTAAAGAAGAAATGGCTTACCCTTACAGAGCTGACTGGAATTACAGCTGACTCATTTGTGAAAACAGAAATCCCCAACAAAAGTTCTCCTTGTTTCAATTGGGTCAGAATTCTGAACTGTAACATTTGTGCTGTTAGTTTAGCTACTAAAGGAATTAAAAACTACTTCCTAAAATAAAAGGGGGCCTGTTGTCATCAGCAGTTTTAAAATTAGCGAGATAAAGGCAGTGATAATTACCGTAGAGAAAACAGTCCCATATCCTAAAAGCATGACTTACCAAGTTTCAGGCAGCCTCCTTTTGGAACAAGGTAAATATCAGAAAGACGCTTTTGAATCTCGCATTGAAATAAAATGCCAGGAAAAAAGCTTTCTTTGTGGCCTTTAATAATTTTCAATTTCTTTCCCTTTTTCAACAGATACGGCAGAATCCTCATTTATCTTCTTTCCTGCCTTGGTGTTGGGATATGTGGTATAATAGTTGCATTTGCACCAAACTTTACTGTATTTTTGATCTTCCGTTTTCTCCAAGGTGTGTTTGGCAAGGGAACCTGGATGACATGCTATGTGATCGGTGAGAACTGTTGTCTTCTTTGTTTTCTGTTTAGGAAAAGTGAGGGATGGTGATCAACATGCCTGGCTAGGTCTGCTCTTGAAAATAAATTTTTCTTGTAACAAAGTGCCGACCCTGAGATTGGCAGGCAGTGAACAACCCAAGCCCATCCTATTTCATGCTTTTATTATCCAAGACAAGGTGGTTGTAGGCACATTGCCACTTTGAGGCATCCCTAGTTGAGGCTAACGCCTGAGCCAAATGTTTGGGGAGACGCTTGTTGGCCTGTGTCTGAACCATGCCAGCAGCCCTTCCAGTAGCTAAACAGTATATGGAGTGTTTTTTCTCTACCTGGTAATATTTGCTAATTTACTAGTAATGAGGGGGCCTCTTAGCGTGGCAGCAAGTGCAAACTTTCCATGATGTTCACTACAGCTGCGAGGTGGAAATGACCAGCATTGTATACGCCTGCCTGATTTTGTTGGATCCCATGGGGAGGAGTGAGGAATAAATACTGCCTGAGGAAGGACTAAAAAGAAAGAATTGTCTTTCAGAACTATCTAAATTCTCCTTTGATACTCCCCCACAGTACACAAACATGCCTGTGTGCAGCTGGCCGTAGGCAGTACAGTAACAATGCAACATTTTCTGTTGATGCTAAATGAAATCTTTTATGAATGTCTAATCTACGGACTTGGATGGAGAGGAGTGAGGTACTTACAGAAGAAATATAAATAATTACAAGGTGGAGAAGTGGACTCTGTGTATATAAAGGTTTCCTTATTATATAGAGATTTCCACACTGGCCAACATCTACTGAGCAAGCCAAGAACCAAACAGGATATCCTAACAGGCACATTGTTTATTTTGGCAGAATTTGAATAACTTCCAGAGGTGCTCACAGGAGTCAACTGTGTTTCTGCATTGGGAGAACAGACACTTGGATGACTGCACTTCATTCTTTAGCAGGGAGGCTTTGCTTAGTGCCAGACTGGACATATTGTACACCAGGATCCATATTAGGATTATCATTTCCTGAAAAGGGAAAGGGAAGGAAATGTTTTTTATAAATAGTATCAAATCAGCAGAGATCCAGACTCTTTGATAGGTGATGTAGCCATGGCCCAGTGATGGCAAACCCCTCATAACAAGCTTACTTTTCATGAGAAAAGGGTACTGTTACGACATCTTGAATGACTGCCAGGCTCAGAAAGGGAAGCTTTCCAGTTCCCTTCTAGAACATGAAGTGGCATGGTGTTAAGAAGGCCATCCTCCTAAGGAGGGCATGTCAGATTTACTTAAAAAGAAAATCAATCCTTCAATAATCTGTGACAATCCAAAACGCGGTGAGAACTTTATTATGTAGTGAAGAAATCTGGATCATCCCTGTAGTATGTGAAGGCTGTAATGCTTTTAAATTGCTGAGTATAGTAGGTGTGTGAGAGCACTACTGAAATGAGACATAAGCAGTTACAGCGAGATTTAGGAATCCCATAGTGACCTAGGTGCAGTCTCGCTTCATGCAGACTCTGGTCTAGCCCTGGCACTATCTAAAGCCCAGAAACACCTTAGTTTTCTGGGCAGAGTTTCACTGCTGAGCAGCTCAGGTCCAAGGTTTGGGGAGAGGGTCCACAGTCTGTTTTCCCCCACACTTCCAAGCATATGCCGTAATTTTAAATTGAAAAGAGAACTGAACATAGATCTTATCCTAAAACTTTGGCAAGTGCTGTAACTACCAGAATATTTTATGACAGACCAATTATTTCCTCAAAATAGCCAAGTTTCAAAAGAAAGGAGGTCTTCTTTGTTCATTTTTGTAGTACTCGGAATACATAACTTTAGGAAAAGGTTCAGGGATAAGACCTCCTGAGGGAAAGTGTATTTCTGCAGCCCTAAGCAAGGTGTCAAATCTTGGAGAGGGCAAGGCCACATGGCACACTGCACTCCTGCGACTCCTCTTCTGAGACACCTAACTCTTGGCATGCGAAAGGCAGACAGCGTGGTGGTCATTTTGGGGGCTGAGTGGCAAAAGGTTAGAGGATACTATGTCTAAATCCTCTCAGGGACCTTCTCCTACACCCTGGGACCACACAGAGTATCTTAACGTATTTTAAGAAGAGCATACAGGTCATTGCTTTGGCTGCACAGGAGAATGTGAAACACCTCCCCAGCTACTGACCTGGGCTTCAGCACAACCAGCCACCCCAAGAACCTGTCTGGCATTTACGCTCAACCCAGGTCTTAACGAGCCAATGCAGAGGCAGCTGTCCTTAGGCAATAAGGTTACCTGGCTGCTATGCAGACGTGATGAGCAGTCAATGAAAATAGTAGCACTGACAGCTGGAATGAACCACTGTTACTTGTTTCCTCTAGTAAAATTTTTAAAAATGTTTCTGTGTATTAGAAATCAAGGTAAAACGCTCTGCTTGACAGTGACTTGACATTGCCAGTTTAGATAGCATTGATAGGTTTGAAACAAACCAAAGGAAGCGCTTCTTCACGCGCTGCTCATTTCGACTCTGGATCTCACAGCCATAGGATATTGCTTGAAGTATGGGCTTTTTTGAGTTTCAGAAGAAATTAGACATGTTCTAATTAAAAAAAAATCCAGCAAGGGATTAAAAATGGGTATGTTTGTACTACTAAATAAAACAGTCTGGGAATGATTCTTTGGCTCTCGAGGCAACCAGGATGGTATGGCTAAACTCTCCTCTCCACAGCAGCCTTGTCCAAAGTACCTGCTGGGAGCAGCTCTGTCCTGGTGATCCCCTGCTCTGGAGCGTGAGCCAAAACTGTACCAGGGAGAGTGATAACAATTTACTAAAGCTCTGGCTCAGGAATTTTCTGTGTTACAGCCCAAAGGAGCATGGGTGAGTGGATGGGGAAGTACTACCCATGCTTGCCCTGGCCAGCTTGGTGAAAGGTTTATGCTGCTATAGACAGGATAATGGGCTAGACGGAATTGTGATCTGATACAGGACTATTGTTCCTTTTGCTCCTGCAGCTGATATTTTTCTTTTGAGTAAGTTTTCTTTCTGTATTGTTTATTTTGGGTTTCTGTCTGTTCAGTGACGGAGATCGTTGGTTCTGACCAGCGGATCGTTGGGATCGTGATACAAATATTCTTCACCCTGGGAATTATGATTCTCCCTGGAATTGCATACTGGGTTCCCAACTGGCAGGGTATCCAGCTGGCCATTTCACTGCCCAACTTCCTTTTCCTGCTCTACTACTGGTAACAATGCAGTTGTTGTTCTTGTTATTATTTATTGACAGTGCTATTATAGCACCTTAAGACCCAAGCTATGGACCCAAGTCTCCAGTGTGCAAAATGGTGTAGATTAGCAAGAAGATACTTGTGTCCTTATTGATTTTGTTGCTTTTAACTGTTTTAAGTGAATCAAAGACACATGTTACGTTTATTTTTCTGCCCAGTGCATGCTTCTCACAACAGCCAGGGCAGGTACTTCACAGAACCGTGCTCTGCTCCTGGTTAGCCCAGTGCTGCCTGTTGACCTATGTGACTTTCCCAAAGTGTTTTTGTGTCAGACATGGACTTCACCTTTACGTCTAATTACACACTCAGTGCAAGCCTGATTTTGCTCCACAGGTCACTATGGGCACCATGGCTAATAGGAAAGCAGAGCACTGTGTCCCAGTGACCATCCCCGTGGGCTGAATCCAAAGAAGTTAAGCCACGTACCCTCTTCTTACACATTCTACTATTTCCTTACACAATGTCTGTCATGCATTTTTAAATTGTGAATCATCTTCATCACAGGCTCAGTATACACCAAAGCACCAATCAGTAGTAGTGCTAAGTATTCAGTTTACAGAGTATGTTGACATTTGAGCATGTGTGTGTATGTCTACACCTAGAAGTTTCCTGGCCTACCTATTTGAGTTCCACATGTGTTTACTATTGACTTTCATTAGTTCTTTGCTGTTTTGCAGGCATCATCCTATTTGCTTGTCAGTTATTGTACTTTTGACTTCCACTGTGCAGATAATAGTTAGACTTCTTATTCTTCAGCTTTGCAGACTATTGGTATATCCTATTTTCTCCTTTCTTGCCCACAAGAATGAAATATCTTACAGAGCAAGTTGGAGACTGAAAAGGCAGTCCGCAAAAGAGTTTCTGTCTCCCAAAAGCTGAAAAATTAGTTCCTTGGGTGTAAAAACAGACAAAAGGCAAAGGACTTACTTTGGTTTACTGATGACATTAATGGGCAAAACCCCTATTAATGTGTTCTATGTTCTTACAGGGCAGTTCCTGAATCTCCACGCTGGCTCCTGACACGCAAAAAGAGAGAGAAGGCATTAAAGATCATGCACGACATTGCAAAACACAATGGGAAATATCTCTCACCCCATTACTCAGAGGTACTATCATCTGTTTAAGCCAGGGCTTTTTTCTGAACTCTTAAACTTTCAAACATTCAGTGCTGTGAAAATGCATTCTTTTTGCGTGATGGATAACCCTTTTGAAGTGTCACTTCAGAGCGAGATTGTCTGTCCCATATCAGCTTTGTTAATTGCAAGCAGATACAAGTGAGTTGGCTGGAAAAGCATGGGCTGAAAAGCGGGTTTTGCAAAACAATATACCAAGTCTTTCCCTGCAACACTTTCTTTAAAGACTTATAGGACAAATCTGAAAATAGTGTGAGGGCCACTAGCTGCAGTTAGAACTGTCAGAGCGAGCGAAGGTGGCAGGACCTGCTTCCCACGGCTCTCTTGCTAGAACCTCCTTCTACATCCCAATGCAAAGATGTAGGAGAAAATCTGAATTTAAATATAAATTTTCTGCCATCCTAATAGGGGGAAAAATATGCCCCCAAATTCAAAATAGGGAATGCACTGTCTGAGGTCACTATTTACAAAATAGGAGGATATATGTTAGAATTGCAGTCCTTTGCCAAGTGGTCTTGAAAGAGCTGAAAAGACTGATGCATTTCAAACGACAGTGTCGGGTCATTACACTGTTTTACATGGTCTTGTTCTGTGTCTAGTAGCACTGCCTGCCTTTAGACTATGTTTGGTCCTACGGTCAAATGATAACAGCAGATGCGGATGGGATTACTTTTTCTTAACAAACTAGCTCTGAAGCCCAAATGCTAGCAATTATTTGAAATAAGGAAAGCATCTGCAAATTACCAGCAGACTGCAGTGCAGAGGTAGCATACTGAATATATTAAGAGTATTTCAGACTGTTATTTTCATATTGAAAAGAAACTGCTTCTGGAAAATGTCTGCTTATCGGTACAGTGCATATACATATGTTTTTATATATATAAAAATGTGATTAACATGAGTGACTTCTACATAGATTTTTCACTGAGGCTAGAGGTAACAACTTTGGGATGGCAATGTGTGGAGAGGACTGATGTGTCCCACCACTTCGTGAAGGGACAGCATGACATATGTGCTTTGTAAAGAGTAGCTGGCAAGCTGGGGTCCCACAGGTCGATATCTTTCCTAGTTCTTTCTCATTGCTCTTTAGCAAGGGACAACCTGGGAATTTAAACCAGCTCATCTGAAAAAGTGGAATGTTGTACCAAAATCCTACAGTGTACTTCTGGATGCAACCCAAGCAGTAACGACTAGCACTCTGTTCTTTCCACATCGGGTAGCTTTTCTGAAATACACATGATTTTATTTATCTGGTAAGACACAGGGTCTGTAAACCAGCCACCCAGCCTCTGCAGCTCTGTTTATT